CTCCTACTTCCTACAAAACTATCCCTCTTCCTTTCCCCTTCTACCTAAGGCACTGGATCCAAAGGTAAGCAAGGCAGTGCCTCAGAAGCTCCTCAGGAGTAAATGCATTTCCAGATTTTGTTGCTTGTTAGGACTTATGTAGGTTAGAGGAAGCTGGTTTCCGGTTTGCCGTGAGGGGAGAAGGAAGCTGGAGCCGCTATGGCAGTGACCTGGCTGCTAACCTTTTGGAGTTTTGGGGTAGCTCAGAGGCAATGAGCACCCGAAAGATGTTCCTGGACCAAGACACTGAGGGGTCCCGCAGCCACCAAAGCGAGCTTCCAACGGGCCCACTCGGTTCCATCAGGAGCCAGGTTGCCCGGCGATTGAGCCTCAGTAGCTGGACTCTAACACACTCCAGCAGTAGGTTGACTCATCGTTCCTCTCTCTGGAGTGGTAAATTTCCCAAAATTTAACCAAAGGAACAAAAGGATTAATTTTGAATTGTTTTAAATTATTGGATCTATTTGGTGTATTGACTGGAGAACAGAAAAAGGGAGTCTTCTCCAGAAATGGTTGCTGCCCTGCATGGAATAAATTAAGGTAACGGAAAAGTCTGCCCTTGGAAATAAAGGAAGCGGGTAACGTGGTCAAGTTGAGAAGCTTAAGTGACTGATCTTTAAGACTCCCCCACACACTTTCTGGTTTTTTCTTTCTATTTTGCGGCATGGAGGTACATCTAACTTTTAAATATAACTTCCTGCTTGGACTTTGTGGCTGACTGAACAGGAAAAGTTGGACTGTGAATACTTATACATATTAAAAAAATTTTAAATTATTATTATTATTATTATTATTATTATTATTATTAGACTCCCATGTAACGATTATTGGGACTGTTTTGCTTTCTCCTTCCTTCCTTTTGACTGGAAATTCTTCTGTGCTTAATCGACTGAGATTTGAATTGTTGCATTGGCTGGCACACAGTTTGTGGATTACAGTAACCTGAATTGCTTTTTTACCATTTCCTGATCATTGGATTATAATTTTTTAAAAAATATTTTTCTTTATTTTCTCCTTCCTTTGGATTTGGGATTTTCTTTCTATTGGACTGCAACTCATTCCTAGGGTTGTTCATTCGGAAAAACAAAACTGACTGAGGAAAGTCCTGTGACTTGACTTTTAGACATAACAAAAATAACTTCAAGAATTTCACCCCACCCGGTGGCCAGAAAAAGCTACTGCATCCAATATAATTTTTTTGTTGATTTTTTCTTTTTTCCTTTTGGGAAATAAAATAATAAATGGCTTCACAAAAGAAAATCTGGCACAGATGCCTAGCCAGTCAAGGAAAGGTTCACTTCAAGAGGGGGAATACAAGATGGACCTTGTGTGGAAGTAATGATGGAAATGCAGAAAGATCTTCAAAGTCGCACTAAGGTGGTGGGTGAATTATCAACAGAAATAAAGACCTTTGCAAGTAAAACAAGTAATTTGGAGAAAACAGTGCAAACCCTTCAAGATGCAATGCAAAGAAATAAAGGGTGGAAATAAAGAAATAAGGAGAGAACAGGAAAAGATGGAAGGAGAAGCTGCTGCAGACAGAGCAACTCAGGAACTGATGGCGGATAATTTGGCTCTAATTGAATTAAGACAAAAGGAGATGCTTTTGAGATTTAGATCCATCCCTCACCAACCAGACGAAGTAATATGGGATAAAATAACTGAGGCACTTGCAAGCATGCTAGAGATGCAAAAACAGGATCTGGCTATTGATCGTGTATTATGGGTTAAATCTCCATATGCTAAAAACACACAAAAACTTCCAGGTGACTGTCTGGTTCTTTTTAACTCAAAGATAGAGTGCTTCAGATATATTATGAGAAAGGTCTTGAAATAGATGATGAAAGTATTATAATTTTAAGAGATCCCTGTAAGACTATTGAAGGAGGGTTACAAATTTTTGACAAAGGCCCTTAAAAAGAAAAATTATCTGCATTAGATGGGAATTCTCTGAAGGAATTTCCTTTACCTATTAAGGCAAAAAAACAGAGGTGTGTGGAACCAATGAAAGCACATGCCTTTGTAAGGAGATATATATATTTGGTGAGATTCTGGGAATTCAGCATGGAGAAGAAGAGGGGGGAAGGAAAGGAAGAAGGAAGAGGAGAAAAAGAGGATAAGCAATAAAGTAGGAGGGGAGCAGAAGCAAATGGGAACTGTGTGAAATAATCTTAAAGATAAACAAGAAATAACAGAAAATGGATCTTAGACTATCTTCATGGAATGTAAATACACCAAAACGAAAAGGAACAAAATAGCGCATATATTAAACAAACAGAAATTAGATATCATTTGTTTGCAGGAGAAACACATAAAAAGACAACATAGAAGACTATTAATCAACAAAGGTCTGGGACAAGAGTTTATCTCTTCTGACAAAACCCAAAAGAGAGGGGAAGTGATGTATGTTAATCCTAAATTAGACCCTAAATTAATCTTGAAAGATAAGGTAGAATTATGAGTATGGACGTGAGACTAGATGGAGAATCAATTATTGTAGTGGGAATTTATGCCCCTAATGATAAAATACTGTTTAAAAAAAAATATGGTAGAGAAATTGTTGATTTGCATGACAGTAAAATAATGATGATGGGTGACTTTAATGGGGTTACATCCCCTTATCTAGACAGAACTATTCAGAAAATAGATTCCAAAGAAGGGAAATTACCAAATGGATTTTTTGACATTGTGTCAAATTTTGATTTAATTGATTTACAGCGTGTTTAGTATCCATTAGAATGTGAATTCGCTTTTTTCTCAAATGCTAATAATCTTCAAGCAGAATAAATCTTCTTTGGGCCTCAAAACAATTAACAACAAAGGTAAAAAAGGTTGAGAACCAACCAAAGACATTATCCAATCAAAATGTCGTGTGTGTGTTTTTTACAATTTCAAATAAACATTTTACATCCTTAAGATATCAATGACTTCCCTTTGTAGCAGGAACCCCTCCCCCCAATCATTCAGTTTGTACACACTTCACACACACTCACACACTACATACGCTATGCTTCTGTTATAAATTCATAGAAAATCAACCATACATCGGATTTGCACTGTTCCACTTTTATTTCACTCCATGAAGGAAGGACTACAAAATGGGGGAGGTTTGATACAGGGCAGCCATAATCCTTGAGCATACCAGTACATACAGAGGAGCCCTGCCCAGTTGCTATGCCAACCCTAAATCTAAATAAAGAAACTGATCTAGTGTGGTTTGGGATGTCAGTAAGGCAGTGATGAGAGGTTTTCTAATTCAACAAAACATTTTTCAAAAAAGAAAGGAAGGGGAGCAGAAGATCCTTTAATGACTAAAGAGCTAATTGTAAAACCAGAGGATAACTATGTGTGCCAAGCTATTAATTATTGCATGCTCAATTATTGATGCTAGTTAATCAAGAGACTGAGAAGAAAATTAAATTAATGAAACAAAAAAACTTTGAATTTGCCAACAAACCTGGTAAATTGCTAGCATGGCAACACAAAAGAAAGAAAGAATTAGACAATAAATAATTATTGTTGATGAGGATAAGTATCTGACTAGCCCAAAAGAGATAAGAAAAGCATTTCAAATTTTTTATACTTCTTTATATTGTTGTGAGAAGGAGGACAATGTACTCTTATGTAAGTGATTGTAATATACCCTGAGTGTCTAAAGAAAACCAGCTAATCTTGAATGCACCAATATCAGTTTTGGAATTGCAGGTCACAATAAACCAGTTGAAGATGGGCAAAGCACTAGGACCAGATGGACTGACCACAATTTATTATAAAAAGTTTCAGGATGCACTTACAGAATAGAATAGAATTTTGGTATCTGGCGCAGTTCCAACTTCCTGGAAAGATACATTTATTACTTTGATCCCTAAACAAGACAGTGACCTAACAAAGACTAAAAATTACAGACCTATTTCTTTATTGAATTGTGACTATAAACTATTCGCCACAATTTTGGCTGATAGAGTGAAAAGGATATTGATTGAGTCAGTCCACAGAGACCAGGCTGGTTTTATACCAGGCCGACAAATGAAAGATAAATCTATTTCCAGATTTTGTTGCTTGCTTAGGACTTTAAAACTGTATGTAGGTTAGTGTCACACACATGGCAGACTACAATGTCCAGCTGTTGGAATGTGTTCTGCTTTGCCATTCATACGTTGTGTAGGCCTGCTGGTAAACATATATTTCCCAGCTTTGCCTGTTAGTTTACTGACAATTTAAAATCCATACCATTCCTTATTTATTCTTATTAGTTTAACTAATAATAGAAATAGAGCGT